TAGATTGTTTCACCAAGATGGCACATTTTATACCATGTACAAAATCTATCACAAGTAAAGAAATAGCCAAGCTTTTCCTTGACAACATCTATCACTATCATGGATTGTATAAGAATATTATATTGGATAGGAGAACTCAATTTTTATTAAGATTTTAGAGAATGTTTTTCAAGTTTCTAAAGGTGGATATAAAACTATCTACAACTTTTCATCCTCAAATTGATAGACAAATAGAATATATAAATCAAGTTTTGGAGCAAAATTTGAGCTGTACCATTAATTATCAATAAGATCATTGAATAACTCTTTAATCATTAGCAATGTTTGCTTATACTAACATGATATATTTTTCTATACAAAAAATACCTTTCTTTGCTAATTATTATTATTATCTATGACTTGATATTTTTAACTTTTTAAAAGTTGATAATCTTATAATAGAAGATTTGGTAAATCATTTATTTGAGTTATATGTAATAATAAAGGTACTATTAAAAGAGGCTCAAGAACAACAAAAGAGCAACATAAATGCCCATCACAATGAACAATTTTATTTCTACGTTGGTAATAAGGTATGGTTACTTTGTCGTAATATGAAAAATTATTTTTCTTTCTGACAAGTTGGATTGTTGTAGACTTAGACCATTTCCTATTTGTGAATAAGTCAATCCAATTGCTTACCAATTATATCTATTTAAATCTATGAAAATCCATTCCATATTTCACATTGTCATATTGTGGTTCAGCTATTATGTAAAAATAATGGATTTATATATTTAATACACAATATACTAGACAACATGATGAAAGCCATGTTAGTGGATTTTTGTTGATTATAGGATGTAGATAGATTACTACCTCAAAAAAAAGTTGTTTAAAAGAGCTTCTATTAGAATTTATATAACTTTATTATCTTTTGATAGTGACTTTTAAGTTGATCTTATTAATATTAACTTTTAAATATTTAGAGTCACCTTTGTTAGATATTGGTGATCCTTAAAGTCTTATTTTGTTTCTTTTATATAGTGTTTAGAACATATATTGTATAAATATTTTTAAAAAAAGAATTAGAGAAGGATTTTGGTAGCAAAAAAAGATAGTTAGGACATCCATATGAATGAATGGAGATGGATGATATAAAATTCTATTCTTATTGGTCAAAAATCATAACCAATGGGCTTCAAGGAGGCTACCCAAGGCCATGTTATGGATTAGGGTTATACTTTCGAGGATTCGAGCTTTTAGAGATTATAATCAATAATTTTAGGTTTTTGGCTATAGTTTTGGTACAAATTTTGAGTCAATTGGAGTTTTTATGAAGGAGATATAGGCGCTTAAAGTCGAGATATCAATTTTGTACCTATTGTCATTCTTTTGGGTATAACGCACCCGTACAAAAAACAATAGAGGGTCGGCAACTGAGATTGGAGAAAGCACTTTCTTGACTACAATTTTGTTATAAAATTTGATAGATTAAAAGTTGAAATGCAAGAGATATTGGAGGTTGAAATCAGTGCTTACAAATCTAAAGGTAGTAAGTAATCCAATTCACTAGTGGTTGTATTTTGAGCTATATATTGAGCAATTTGATAAGCTTTTGGCTCAAAATTTCTAAAAATGTGTATAATCATGTTAATAAATTTTATGTATAAACTTTGTAGCATTTAAATTTTGGGTTTGTGAGATATGAAAAAAATAGTACTCAAGTGCTTGTAAATTAGGGTTTGAAGCACCTTCTAGGATTTTTAAGATGCCAAACAATCAGTTACAAATTTACAATTGAATTTTATTTTAATAAAGCTCAAGGATGAATTCTAAATTATTTGTAAATTTAAAAAAAATTGAACAGTTGGATCGAGAGATATAAATTTCTAAAGTTCAAGAAGAAAAAAATCTTTGCGGAAAAAGTATATTTTGAAGGGATTTTATTATAAATTAAGCATTTTATACAAAGTAAAGGGGTTTTTTGGAAGTCAAGACTTTATATATTTGTTGAAGATGGATATATGGAGCTATGATTAAATTTTGATATAAGGATGTGTTTTTGAAGGAGATTATGGATTTTCTTTGGAATTATTGAAAATCTAACTTACCAGCAAATAGTTAGTTATGATTTGGTATAATCAAGAATGTTAGAAAATTTCTAGATATTTAAGAAAGTCTTATGTACAAACCTTCTTAAATGTAAAAAATTTTACTACTAAAATATCTTTTTGATATTGTAATATTTAATTATCTTCTACTTTAAAGGTTAAATAACTTATTAGAGCTTGGCTAATAAGTTAAAACTAAACTTTCTACACCTAGGTACCCAATGTATTCCCAAATAGAAAACCACTCAATATGACAATGTGTCTCTTTTGGAGCCATATAACACAATGAATATCTTGAAAAGAAGACAAATACCACTATCTTATGTAAAAGTGGATAATGATGAAGAATTTTAAATAGAAGAAGTCTAAGATTGAAGGCAACGCTAACTTAAGTTGGAATACCTTATTCATTGGCACAAATAAGATATTAGCAAATACACATGACAACCAATAAAAAATCTTACAAATATAACAAAGAAGGTCAAATCTTTTCTTCAACAACATCCATTAAAATCAAAATAAAGGATAGCAAATCTTTGGTTAAAAAAAAACACAATTTAGAAAAGATTGCATCCTATCTTCTATCATTGTTTGTAGTTTCTATGTAATTGTGGCATTAAAGTGATAGAGAATCAATAACCAGCAAATTTAACTCAAAGCCATCATTTGCTGACTTATTGGACAAGATATTGCAATTATCATAGCCTTCAAGATGATGTAATAAAGATGACGACCTTCAAAGATGATATATTCTTCTTCAAATAGATGGCAAGATATTATACATTTGGTATCACAACTTGAAAAGAGAGTCTTAATGTTTGGTGATTTTATTGAAGATGGAAACAATTCTTGATGGTGTTACCAATTTTTTGTTTGAAAGAAGTTACAAAGTCTCGACAATGATTAAATAACAGGGTAATCTTTCTACATTTGAATGAAATATTATCAATAGCTAAGAAGTCCTATGAACTATCTTTGAAGGGATCAAAGATCAGAACACATAGCAAATATAATTTGCCACATCTTAGACTTCTTTAATATGTGATTACCTCTCCTCATGGAACTCATCTCTAAAAAGGGGGATAATGTCAAGGACATACATTTATTATAATTCTTACATAGATAATATGAATAGGTAGAGATACTTAAAAGTACATTAATTTCATAATATCTTCTAAAAAAGCTTCTTAGAAGCTTCATAAACATTGTTTTCACTTTACATGTTTTTATAATTGATTGGTAGATAACAAATTTGGTCAATAAGCTAACTATGTGCCACACATGTTGATAGCTTGTGGAACAAGCTAATTATAAGGCTTCATATAGAAAACTTGCCTTGTAAATTAAGATATATATCATGCAAAGTCAACATGTTTTTGGAAGTCCTATAGAACGTCGCTATATAGATCTTAGGTAAATAGTATATATAAAGGCAAGAATGAAGCTTTCTTCATTGTTGTCAACTCTTTTCTTGTTTCTAATCTAATTTCAAGAGTCTTTAGTTTTTTTGTCTTTTAGCAATAGCCATTCTAGTTTCTTTTTAAAATATATACTTCTTTATTTTTATTTTGTCATATTTCTTTAAGAAATTCTCTTATTGATTTTCTTTCATCTAGTTCTTGTTTTTGACACTTAACCAACAAATTAGCCATGTATTACATGTATTAATAGCTTGTGGTATAAGCTAATAATGTAGTACACATATAAGAAACTTATCTTCCAAGTTAAGACATGTATCTCACAAATTGGACACATATTAAAGGTCTTATAAAACATTGTTATATAGCTTCTAATTAGATAGTATTTATGGAGACAAAAGTAAAACCTTCTTTACTCTTATCAATGCCTTTTTAGTCTTTAGTCTTGTTACAAGACTTTCTAATCTTCTTGTTTTTGACAAAAGCTATTTTAGTTTAATATTATACTATCTTTGAGTGATTTTTTAGTCTTTTTGAATAATACAAGAATGTTTTGATTTTTTAGTTCTTTGAGATTCATATTGTTAATAATTTGAAAAAAATCAAATTTACAAGTCAAATTTGTTTAAGTTGTATATGGAAGGAAAAATTATGAATACTACTCTTGACAAAAGAGTGAATAGATTTACAACCATTACAAATCTTTATGAGTTTGTCAACACTTAGTATGAAAATTTCACGTATTTCTAATATCAACTATAAATGTATTATTTTGATGCCTATCAAAGAGATCAACAATGAAGTTTAAAGTCTATTCCAAAAAGTTGTGTCATTGAGAGAAGCAAGCAGATTAAGTTCATAACTAAATCAAATAATCTTGCTATTGCAAATATGTGGGAGGCAAAGATAAGTATGCTAGAGAAGTTCAATGGAACAAGATCAAAGTTTTGAGGATTTTTATAATAAGTAAAGCTTTATTTAAGATTGCATCTTTCTCAATATCCTAATAGATTTACTCAAGTTGGATTTATAAATACACTTATAAGTACACTTCTTATTTTGTAAGAATATATTAAAGATGAAATATTTTTTGTTCATATACATATCCATACTTGGATAATGTTTTTTGTTGGTATGGTAGTTGGTTGTATCTACAATTATTGTGAAATTACTGTGAATTGTGCACAAAGATTATTTTCTCTTTAAATAAAGAGAAAATGGTGGAATAGCAATCTTTCTTATAGCTAGTTTTATACTTTTATAGTATTAGAACAGAATTGAGAAGGAAAAATTGTATTTTTGTGTTTTTTGATCTACATTTGACATTATAGTCTTCTTACAAGAAGACATTTTTGTTTTTACCTGAAGACCTTAATATCAGCATTGAATAGACATGGATTGGTCTAGTTACCTCATCAGTGGAGAACATCACTTTGGAAACATACGCATGAAATAGATATTATCAAAACATTTCGTTGACACTTGGCTATCAGTGTATCATGGTGCTAGTATTTAGCAAATTGTTATCGCCAGTTGCGTGTATACTGTCTAGATAAGCTAGAAGAATCTGCTCTGTTTTTTCCTTGTCTTTCATACCGCATATTCAAACAATTCATAGATGTTGAAGAAGGGCAAAACTCACGAAAGACACTGTAGATAAATATTTAGAAAGGGAAATTACAAATTGAAATCAATGAATGACATGTATGCCATGTGCATCATTGGTTTTTACTTTCCGAAGAGGGATTTTAACCACCACACTCCAGCGCGATCTGTGTTCTCCGAATTCGAGGTTCCTTCTTCCCCTATTTCTGGAATTTGCTGCGTTTTATGTAACTTGCTAACATCGTAACCTTCGTTAGTTGCATGCTCCAGAAGTTGATTGTAAATTTCGTCGCTGAGCTCTGGCGTCCGAGATAAAACCTGAAGATCCATCAGCGCATAAGTTGCGTTAGGAAAGGGAAGGAATTCGGGGGTAGCAACATGAATTCTGGTATGCTTAGGATCAGACCGAGGTACACATGCTCTAAAATAACACTTCTGCGTAAATCATTGACCTATTTTTTCCTAAAGAACAATTCACAGCATTTGATGTCCTGAGGAGAAGGGTGTGAAAAAATAAGGAATCGCGATTAACGTACCCAGAGATATCTTCTGGAGGGTTGGCCTATTAGGGCCCACTGATAATTCTCATCAAGCTTCATTACCCAGTAATCTCCCGTAACAGGAAATATTGGGAAGAAAGGTGGCACTAGGAAGCGCACTTTGAGTTTAGCGTCAGGGCTGGCAGCATCTGCCTTCCACGCTTTACCCTCGATGTAGCTGCGCTTGCCGCTTACCCAAGTTTCATTGAGAACGTGAATAGTTTGGTCTTCTTTCAGGGCATACGTCGCACGAGAATTGGTTCCCGTTGAAGGTTGGAACCGCGAGGGAATTGACGCAATCTCATACCATCGCCCTTGATAGCGCTTAAGGTCGACATTCTGCACCACGTTTAAGTCCTTTTCGCCTCCCATCTTTGTAAGAAAACTGGAGCTATCCTTCTACTTAAAATCTGTCGCAGCTACGCAGTTAACAAGAGAGGATACTGCAACTTCTCAGGCAATAAAGTTTGAATCCTGCACAGTAAACGTTCAGCGTTCAGCATTCAGCAAGTCCATGGCTTCACCCAAGTCTACTGACAAAACATTTAAGATTGGCAAACCCCATTACTTAATAACTGCAAGCCAGACGAGGGTATCAACGACTCGTTAGCACCATTCAATTCTGAATAATATCTACAAGTTCAAAACTCCAGAAATTCGGGAGAACCTTATCCACGGGCGAAAATTATCTACGAGAGAACATGCGGCAGTGCGACTCCTCACAAACTAAATAAACCCACGATGACTCAAAAAAGAATATAAAAGCAAACACAGGTGGCAAACCACGTCAAGCACATACACATCTTCACTCACAATTGAACATTCACCGGTCAGAACCCAACTCGCAAATCGAACGTGCCTCGACGAGTGACAAATTGTGAAGATTGCAGAAATACGCTGAAGAGGAGAGGGGGTTAATAGAAGCGATGGAGTAGCAAGCAAGGGAGAGGTCGGCGCATGAAGGGTCTAGTAGTTACTGGAAGGTGGTGGAGCACAGGTCACGTCTTGAGGCCCCTTTTCCAATGCAGCTTTTGCTAATTCTGTCGCTCTTTCTAATTTTTTCTGCTGAATCGTAGTGTGATGCTATGATATCTGCCTCTCCATCTTTCTCTCTCGCTCCCTCACACGCATACACACACTCTCCACCTCTCTGTGCCCCACCTTCGCTGGTTTGAAGAGCTCCCTGTGCTGTCCTTCTTCTTCTGCATGTCTGTCACAGTCCACCTCCTGCAAAACCACGATAAGCCTGTACACTTGGACACCTACCCACTGTGTGACTAAAGGGAAAGGATCCATGAAGGTGGCAAAACTAAGCCAGACTATTCCTCACCACTTTTTTGCTTGGTGTGTAGATATCCTAAAATATAGGAATGTCCATTCCCATTGTTTCAAAGTTTCCATTTCCATAAGGGAGACGAGAGTCTAACCAACCAAGAAGACAATGACTATGATGGCAGCTCAATTTTTATTTTATTTTATTTTGGTATGATAGGATGGAGGGGTGGCAATGCTCTTCACTTCTAGTGATAAAAACACAAGCTCTGGATGTGAAGATGTGTGCAAAGGCTGCCCCTCAGATTTGTCAATATGTTGTTGCTGATTCTTGATTCATACCACCTTCTTTGCAACTACAGAAAAATGGCCTTTTGCTGCTGTCTCTTTGCCCTCTCATCATTAGATGTTTTCCTTTTTTTCTTTACTTTTTACCTTTTTACATTTCTTTCAGTTTTTGTGCACATCAAGATCACATTAGAGGGCATAAGACAAGGTGAAAAAGAATGAGGAATCAGAGGTTGTCATTGTGAACACAAAATTGTCCTCCACATGGCAAATGGGCAATACCCTGTTGCCTGCAAACTGGCAAAGCAAGCCAGCAGAAAAATCACTCTTGACCCTGAGAGAGAGACAACACATGTTGTAAGTTCCAAAGAACTGTATCATGCCCTCCTCACCTCCTTGTGAACCCAAGCTCCTTCACCTTTCTCCTCACCTCATTCCAACTCATCTTGTGCACCCTCTTATTGTGTCATGGTAGCAAATGCTAAGAGTGCAAGCAATGTGTGCTGATTGATGCACTGCTCTGGCAACATTGGTTCTATCATGAACCTAATGGAACATGAGTTTGAAGGAGAGCAAGAGATGGATTGGTTCTCTTGGATGAGTCCTTTCTTTGCATTCCCTGTGGTAGCCCTGAGTATGTGTGCATGTGTGTGTAAGTGTGTCTTGGGAAATTAGAGGAGTTCTCTTCTTGACATATATGCTTCTTTTTTTCTCTCTCTCTCTCTCTCTCTCTCTCTTAAGACAAGCAAGTAGTAGTGATTCCAGTCTGAGTTCTGATTGGGAGGAGCTATGAGCATTTCTCTGCATTGATCACAATTATGGGAGTTTTCACATTGTGGGGCTTTCCTGAGATTTACCAATGCACCACAGTATATTTTTGTTCTGCTCTTTGAAATAATCTGTGCCTTGACATGTGGATTCCATTGCTAGAATGAAAAAATCTTGCCAACAACAATGACAACAACAATGCCATTAGCAGGTATACGGATAACTTTACTTGTATATCCATCTGTTAAAGATTTATATGGGTATGCAAATAAACTTTATTTGTATATCCATTGGATGTTATTGGTATGTGGAAAGATGTGAAAAAAATTATTAAAAAAAAAATCAAAAGTGGGAGGATGCAATATATTGTTAATGTTGAAATAGGAAAATTGAAGTTTTTAAGAAAAGAGCGTTCTTTAATTATTTATATATATATATATATATATATATATAGTGTGTGTGTGTGTGTGTGTGAGAATAGAAGACATGATTATTCTCTTGACGAATTTTTCAAAATTAGAATTTTTAAAATACATAATTAGAAATATATTTAAAATATCAATGTTAAAAGATGATAGTGACTTTAGGCTTTAAAAATGTAAAAGATATAAATGTGCAATTTTTATTTCAAGAGCATGAAAAAGATGCATTGGAAAGTAAAAGCCAAACCATAGGTACATAGTTAACTTAGTCTATGGAGTGTTAGAAAAAAAAAGTTTTTCTTTTGATAAAAGTAAGTCAATGTTGTTAATAGATTGTCAAACCAGTCATATGTGACACTCATTGTAAAGTTTTTTGAAGGAGATACATGAGAACTTAATTCTTTTACCTATGGGAAACCAAAGAGCTTAAAGAAAAATAAAGAATTGCCCTCGTAATCATCAAAATCAACTTTTCAAATTTCAGATCAAAAATTTTAACTTAAAATATTTCTTTGAAGAATTTTACTTCTTGATAGAAAAGAATTGTGATACAGAAATACATATAAGTTTAAAAATTACATGAAGAACAGTAGAACCAAAGATTCAACTGTGGTCATAAAAAGTGTAAATATATAAATATTTAACATTATGTTTATAATTATATGTCTAAAATTTGAAGAGAATTTTAACCAAAAACGTATATGAATGAAGTTGTAAAAAGAACATAGAATAGTAAATCTTCATGATGATAGGACCTGAGATAGAAATGCTGGAAAATTTGAATGAGGGTGTTCAAAACAAATGTATTTTAATTGCACACTCAAAGTTATAAGTAAGATATATCTTAAACTATAAAGTATGACTACAAGAAATTTTATGTTTTATTTGGTTTTTCTAATACATTTCTTGATAAGTAATAATTTAACATTCATGCTATTATTTATATGAAATTTTATATAAATAGATTAGACCATGACTTCCTCATGGTCTAATCAATCAATTCTAGTGAAATCCTAAATCCCATATTTCAAGATGGCGGGTCCACCAACTCATAAGTACACAACATCCTGTGAGAAGATGTATTGAAATGAAGGCTATTGCAAATGAATGTTACAGAGATTGTGTTCCTATGAACAAATATTCAATGACATGATTTTCTCACATGTTTTGTACTATAATGCACTAGATACAAGAAGGGATAAATCAATAAGATACTTTTTATAATGAATTTATTTTCCAAGAAAACGGATATATTTAGAAAAGAAGAAACAGGCCAGAAAAAAAAAAAAGGAAAAAAAAAACTACATTCCACCAAATAAAGAATGAAGATGCATTATTTTAATCAAATTTAGATTTCTCCTCAAAAAATCATTATCAGCAACAATTTGAAGATAACCCATAAATTTTTAATGCCGTTTCATTTTATTTTATTTTTCAGATGTTAAGAAAGTAGTGTTTTTGTATCTGATGTACACTAATGGAGAATGACAATAACAGCGTATTTGATTATCTACTTTGCTGCAAGATATTAAAAATAGTAATAACGGGAGGATACTTTGAATGAAGTGCAGTAGGAATGTTGGAGGAGGGGAAGAAGGAGAATACACATCTTGGATATTTGGGGTACAAAAAGTGTGTATGCTATCACTGAAAGCAGTCCGCCTTCAATTCAAACAAACACACCAACACACCAACTCAGAGCGACACAGAGACATGGAGAGTGAGAGTGAGCGCGCGAGAGAGAGGAAGGTTCAACAGCATCCAAGAAAATGCGTTCAGAATATGATGAGTTCAGAAGGGCACAAGTGTGAACGGAGTCGGGCAGGTTACGCTGCCAATGAGACGGATTTGGCACCGACGTGTAAGTTCTTGGCGGCGACAGCACACACCGCGACTCGTTCATATCTACGTGGCACCGACGGTGCATTGTCCAGGTGGCAGCATAAGGGTGCGCCACAATCGGGGAGGAAGAGCCCCGAACGAACCGAACTTCTTGATGGATGGATGAGAGAGATGGAGGTGCAGGAGTTTACGGAAACAAACAAGGGCAACAACAACAACAATGGCATCAGCAGCAGCAGTGTAGGAAAAAGACGAATGAATGAATGGGGCTGAAGAGGAGGAGGAGGAGCATTAGGTTTTCAGGATCTTGCTTCCTGCGGTTTCGACCATGTCGGTACTTGCACACGTTAGGAGCCACCTGTCTCCGAGTTCTCCTGATTCCTCCTAACTACTACTACTTTATATGATCACAGGGACTATTAATCCGAGTGCGGTACCTTTATTATGCCCTCTCCTCTTTTGTGTTCTTATATACAGTTGGGTTGGATTCCGAACCGCTGCAAATTTCCAAAAAGGCTCTTGTAACTTGTTGGCATTCGTTCAACTGCCAAGGCGTTTTCCTAGATAATTGTACTCGTTGCGTGTAGAACACAAGTGATTCCTCGCTATGGGGGGTCAAGAAACAAGTCCTTACTTAGTCAGCTCTTCAAGCTTGAAAATTCGGCCTCAAAGCCCCTTCCCATCCAACGCCAGTTCTTCTCTGTACCCAAAAATTCAAAGCGAGGGACGTCCTCCAGCAGCAGCAGCAGCAGCAGACATGGCCAGTGGTTCGGCCAATTCTCCGGTCGGTGCGTTCGAGGAGCTCCTGGTGACCATTCCAGGTGCCTTAGTTCATCTTGTGGACGATCAGGAGAGTGTTCTTCTAGCCAGTGGCGATTTCTCTATTGTAAGGATCAATCAACAGAATCAGAGGATTGTGGTGCTCGTGCGTGCTGGAGACAGTTTGCAATGGCCTTTGGTGAGTGATGAGCAGGTGGTGAAGCTTGACTCCATTCACTACGTCTTCTCGCTTCCCATGGCACCCACTTTGGATGAAGCCGTTGACGGGACTGCTTCTGAGGTATATTCCATTATCCTACTGCCCTCTAACTCGCAAATGCTGCTGCATATTAAATTCTCGGTGCACTTGTTTTGTTTCTGTTGAAGTCATCGTGTTGACGTGTTCATCAAGCTATGGCGGTGTGCTCAGGAAGGAGTGCGTGAATTCTTGTTACCTTCGTGTTGTTTGGGGTTTACCGCTCTTCTTGTATCACCGATTGGCAGGTCTCGAATTTTTGGCAAGGGGTCTGAACTTGCTTTAAAATGACTTCGATTTTTAGCGGTTTTATGTCACAATGATTGATGACGGAAATTGTGGACTGGAGATAGCCTCGGCTGAAAATGGAAAATCAATTTAAAAAATCGTTTTAGAGAAGAAGGTTTCATTGTGGGGTTATAATACTATTCTTCACGTTCAGGGAAAATTTTGATGTTCTGATGACTGCTTTGTGTCGTGATGACCCAATCCTTTCTCATGAACGTTAACTTAATTATGCTCAATGCTTGGGCACAGGCTGTGTCGAGGGCCCAGGGAGGAGAGAAAGTTCATTATGGAGTTACCTTCGCAGCACAGGGACAGGAGGAAGATTTGAGATTGCTGGATGATTTGCTGGAGTCTTACAGCTTTTTCTCTTCTCCATCGCTTGTCCACGGTGACAATCAGAAAGAAACCGTTGAAAGACATCTTGCTTCCAAAGATGACCTTGTGGTCGATACAAGGGGTGCCACGGTTGTTCCAGCATCGGTGGTTACTGGAAATGGCAAGCAGGTGCACAAATATTTGTCTTCTCAGGCTTGCACTAAGTTATGGGATTTGAACAATTTCTAAATGAAAACTTGTTAAGATTATTTTTGTTGGCTTAAACACCAAAGCTTGCTGAACTGGGAGTAATACAAGTGTGTAGAAGCCAACAAAAAATGAAAACCCACTCAAGGAGCGTGATACTATCCACCAATCAACAGTTTAAAAGTTGTCGTGCGACTTTAGTATCTGCAATAGCGCAATGCTAGGTTTATCGCAATTTTAGGAGACTTGGAATTGAATGAAATTGCTTGTTAAGATCCCTTTCTTTGTGTAGCTAACTATGAGAGTTGATTGTAACAACCAGTTGTTAATCAATTTTGTTGAAGTACCTTAGAGATTTTGATCTCTTGTAAACAGTTGAAGCTAACATTCTACTCTTTCTTTTCAGATCACAGAGGAAAACCAGAGAATATTCTGGACAGCGATGGCACCTAATGTGGATGACTACGGTAACAGTCTGGCGAAGGCGATTGCATCTGGTACAGGCCAGATAATTCGGGGCATCTTTTGGGTTCGGGATTCAACTGTCAAGACGCTGGAGAGTGGTTCTATAAATGTGACTAGAAATTCTAAACCTACCGACCATCCTAGTGATATTAGACCGTCAACATTGCGCAACCTGCAAAGGTAGATTTCTTAATTTTGGCCTTCTGATTGCAGTTATTCGAGGTTTTCGTAGATTCCTTGGCGTTCTTTACAGTGACGTCTCTGTGTTTATTTGTGAACAATGATTTTTAGTCTTACTTGCAGAGTCAATTATCTATCGAAAGCTACGGACGATTTTGCCAAGAGTGTGTTATCAGGAGTGATATCGACTGTGGGAATTATTCCAAATGCCATCATCAGGTCTAGTGTTGGAAGAGCAATTCTCAAGACTGCTCCTGGAGAAGTGGCATTGGCTTCTATGATATCATTTTGTGAGTGCCTCTACTTCTATTACTTTAAATGCCATTTCTGATGGCATGCTTTGGAATTTTGAGTTTCTCTCCTTCCTGATGCACCATTCCTCCATGATGTCGGTCAGATTGAATGGTTAATACTTCCCTATCTTTGAGAAGAACAATGTTCGAGAATGTATATGTCGTTGGACAGCTTTACCCGTCAGATTAAAATTTGGGTATGAATGGAAGAGTGAGCCTGCAGTAATTACACGAGAATTAATGATAATTGACAAAAAAATTTCAGGGAAATTGTTCGATGCTGTGGAGCAAGCCTCTAGAGATGTTTTAAAAACTGGTACAGCAGCTGCAGCTACTGTAGTGACACATAAGTAAGCGTTTATAACCTTCTAGCTCAATCCTCTTTCATTTGTGCACCAAAGCATGTGTGTGCCTCAAGTTTGTCCATCTTATTCCACTATTCAGTATATACATACACACATAAACATGTAAACATAAATATTTATTCTGTTTTGGTGACAGGTATGGAGAACCTGCAGGAACAGCAACAGGACAAACCTTGGGGACTGCCGGTCACATGGTGGGAACAGCATGGAGTGTAGCCAAGATTCCTAAAGCTTTTAATCCTACAGCAGCATTGAAGCCCTCTAAAGCAACTGTCATGGCACTGAACTCACCAAAATTAACGAAATAGAAAATTTCCAACTTTTCACCAATTGTATCATGAGATTCAATTAAAAAGTTATATACTTATATCATATTGAGTGTTTGATATCTGATGCAAGACTGTCCAGAGCAGATTACATTGTTTGACCCACATTCTTGTGTTCAAAAAAAGAAAAAAAAAAAAAAAAAAAAAAAAAGAAAGAAGAAGAAGAAGAAGAAGAAGACATCAGATTAAAGCAGGTGGTAATTATAAAACACAGAAAAAGCTGGAGGAAATCATCAACAATTTCTTGGTAGAATGAACGAATGAATGCATGAATCAGCAATGTCAGAGGATTGAGGTGATGTGTTTTAGTACACTTTTCATATCACTGATCACTAGAAAGGAGGAAAACTCAGATTCCGAGTTTGGCAGCATCCCAGACAACATGGCCACATGGGAGTGGACTCCCTTGCATGGCATTGGACCTTGGCTGGGGTGCCCCTGCTCCATGTGCATGTGTATTGCATTGGTCACCCACCTCCTGCCCTTTAGTGTTTGGAAATCATAATAAAAACAGAAACAACACAGAAGAGAATAGAAAAGAGAAACTCTCATCACTTACCCAATGCCCAATACACAGCTCCTGCTTACTTTGCACCCACTCAGTTGACATTCCTACTACCTCAATGCTAACATTGTATGGCTCTACCTGCTCATCACCCTCAAATCAAACTTTAATTTTTAATTTTTTTAATGTTAATAAACATTTACAAGTCCTGTCTGAGTAAAATATTTATCTACTTAAGTGCTTAAAATTATAAAGAAATCAAATTGAAATTATGATTCCATTTTTAATATCATAAAAATCTAATTTTCTAATACTTTTAAAACTTTCAGAATATATTTTTTAATTGTAGTATTTAATTTGGAACTTAAAAGTGTTACAAATAGAAATTTACAAACTTAGTTCAGATTTTCATGAAAAGTAATAACAGCAGTTCCTATTTTACAGAAAGAGTTGTTGTTTACTATTAACTCTCATTAAAAAAATTATGAATTTAAAATTGAGGTCAAAATCTTTATTTATAAAATCTTTATTTATATATTTACATACACACATATTATAAGTGTCATAACTTATGTTTTTGTACTTAAACTAAAACACTTCAAAACATTTTTCTAAATAAAAGGTATGTTGTCGTATGAATTTAATGGTTGATAGTAATAATTTAAAAAAAATTATATAATCCTCACTTGACTTGGTATTAATCTTTAGTACTAAATTTTAATAAAATTCAATATATTCCACAATGTTTTAAACATATTTTTTCTTTATTCTCTAAGAACAATATATATATATATATATATATATATATTTATATTTATTTATTTATTTAATTTCTTAGTACTTGAAAGCACAGACTATTTTTTAAAAAAAAGATTTATGATATTCTTTACTTTACTTGTATTATAAGAATTCAAAATTATAATCATATAAATAACATACTTAATAAGTATAGATTAAACTTAATTTTGATGCAATTAATTTTTAAATACTTAAATTAGTATATATTATAAAATGCATCATCAAACACACATGATAATATAAAAAATCTAAGTACAAAAGTCATTAACAATGTGATAAGTTTGATGTTTAGATGTGTTTGACTGCGTTTTATTATGTAAAATTTATATTTTTTCATGAAGTATGAGTTTAAGAATATATTAAGTTACATAACTTTTGTATTTACTAAATGATAGACAAACTTATTGAAAAAAATTCTATGGTTTTGTACTTTCATAATTTTTGAAATTAATATAAAAAATAATTTATTTCAATTATAATTATAAATAATTTTTATTTTAATACATGAATATTATATCATATTATATTATAATTTTAAAAACATATTAGCATCTTTTTTATGATTCAATTATGAATTTATTTCAACGTGGATATTCTACAATAATGAAAAAAAAGATTATTTTTCAATAAATCAATCACTAAAAAAAATATTGGTATAAAATCTAATATGACTAAAATTTCAGGAAAAATTAAAAACCAATTTTTTTAAAAAAAATCAGCATTAAATATCAAGAAAGAAACAATTTAATAAAAATAAAAATAACTTGTGATATTTTTTTAGCTTTAATAAATTCTATATACAAAAATGATAATGGTTAAGATTTTTAATTCGAATTTTTTCAAAAAATAGTAGTATAAAAAATCTTTCAAATAAAAAATTAGAAAAACATTTCTATATATATATATAATCATTTTGATTAGAACAAAAATTTATGTATAGACCTATTATGTATTCATTTTCTTTTATGATCATGTCTAAGTTCCTATATTTTTAAAGTTTAAGAATTTTTATATTTTTTCTATGTAATAAAAAAAATTGAAGGAATAATAACATTATATTAATTATTTTATAGAATATTCCAACATCATCACCTCTTTTAAATGGTTTGTAAGTCCACAATGACATAGTCTTTATAGTGACACTATTTCAATTCAACACACATTTTCAAAATCACATCCATTGTGTCTTAAGTATATATAATTTTTTAAAATTTTCATTTCAATTTACATTAAATCTTATGCATGACTACAGAAAAAATTATAGGTTTCGATTTTCTTTTATACACAGTAAAGAAAGATGGATTTCATGAATCAGCACTTTCATGTGCACATGAAGTTGGCTTACACAAATTGGTTCAAGCAATACTGATATCTGGTGATAGGAGGGGGGGGGGGATGTGCACCAGTTGCCAACCAGGGAAAGGGTAGGTGTGTGAGAACCCACAGATCCAATAAGGGCAAATGTACAGGCAGCACATTTTGGATATAACAAACAAAATGGAACCACCCAACTTGAATCTGAACTGAGATCAACCCTGTAAGCATGGACAGCAGCCCTTGGAAGCTGTTTAGTTGACTAATGCTACACCAACAGAATCCTCACACAACTCTCTGACAATATAATCACTGGCCAACAGACTTTAAAGGTATTCACAGACATGCCACCTTGTGCCAAAACTTCTATTTAATTACCCAATTCAACCCAGCATAGCCTCTGACACAGGTGATTGAGCAGCATCTATCTTACCCAATCCACAGCCCATGATGCATCCAGCCAAAACCAGCCTTCAACATTTCTTGCAAAGTTGTTAAAAAGCCTCCAGCAATGCACACATCAAACACATCAGATTTGTTGGCTACTGGTGCACAACTAGCAAAAGATGGAGCATGATTAGGCTCAAGTTTCCAACCAAAATTTACAACCAAATGGAAATAGAACCACAATCATGTTTCTAAATGTTATAATAATTCTAAAATTAGCATGCCACGATTGGAGACCTTACAGCATCACCACACTTACATAGCCCCAAGTGAATTCAGCACAGTGAGACTCAAGAAACTAGTTATGTTCTTGACTGTGAATCACAATGTGTCATTTGGAATTCCTTAGGTTAGACCTCATGGCTGAATAAATTTGCATGTAGGGACCAGGTGCTAGGTGTTGACAGGTAATTACTGGTTCTAAGATTAGTATTAGTCCCACTGTACCCCATTTCAAAGATGTAAGACATGCCCCCAGTACATTTTGCAATGTGGCTGATTCCTTTTTTCTCTCTAATATCCTGATGTTTTTGACAAGTGATAATGTTTTGATCGTGTAATGTGGACATTTAAATAGGCTGACTTAGCAATAGCAGCTGGTTGCCTTGCCCATCAAACACCAGCAACATAGCTGTAAGTGCACTGGCATTGTGAATGCAATTCTGTTCCATCCCAATCATTCACAACAGAGACAAACCAGCAGAGCATACAGTGTCCCCTCAGTGTTTAAGTTTAGTGCTGAACCTAGAAAGGTCAACTGGAGCAAAGAAGCCTTGGTCTCCTTTGCCACACCACCTGCCCAATAAGATAGAATGGATTGTTGAATTATGATAACATTGAGAGGTGTGTACTACAAAGCCCACATTCTAATGAGATGTATAAGTGCAACCAGACTTCATCTCATCCATGCAATTTATTGAGATGGTACATACTTACCACAAACCTGTAACCACAAGAATTAGAAATGTCATTGTTAACTGACATTACACTGCAATCATGTATGTAAGCAAATCTGAGAGCATTCTAATGTATACAAGAACACAAGTTCTGAGATTCTACACAACTTACTGTTTTCAATGATTTAAAATTCAAATAATTATTGTAGATCATTTGGTAACACTTGAGACCTTTATTGTCTTATCCTTCTATTTTACATTGCACTTGTATATGTTCACACTCTCAAATCAAGAATTAGAACACTCACAACAGTCCAAAACTAAGGAAACCACCATTTTCTAGAGAGAATTTGATATGTATCATAGGAAATCTTATTCAGAATACTATTTCGATATAGAAATGAAAAACAATAGAATGCAATGAAATAATCTCTAGAACAAAGCAAACATTAGAAAAGCTGCAAATAAATACAATCTTACAGCATGGATTTGGAATTAGTGGTTAATTTTTGTTAGTATTCAGTATTCTACCCTTGGACGCTTCATCATGACATTGAGATAAGTTAATTCCAACTTTTGGATGTGCAAGCGTGTACATAACTTCACAAGATTAAAAATGAGAGGAAACATTGTCCGGCACTACATTCATCCAGGTACAAGGTAGGATGCCCATTGTAAATTCAATTTATGCAAAACTTACACAGGCCAGCCTGGTGGGGAGCAGTTACCGTGAAGGAGGTTTGTCACATCACATCCTAAATCAGGCCGAAATCTTCAAAGGAACAATAGTCCATGAGTGTAGAACAGTCAACGACATGGACAAGGATGGAACTGCATCTCCGGATTTTAGGGCCGAACCTTGACTTCGACTTCATTCAAGTTCGTAGCATCCAAGGTCAACAAGTTGACGCCTTCACGACGAACGGTACAAGCTATTTCATACTAATTTCGGCTCTGCCTGCACCGCTTTTCCCATTGAAATCACCCTTCACATCAGGGCATTCCTTGGTCGCTTTCCCATCATTCCTAGCCTAAATTTTCAATTTTCCATCATCTCCCGCTTCTGAGAAGACCGAACTTTCCTGTCCTGAGGCCGAGTTCATCCTTTCGGCCGGACCTAGCAACGACCCTACTGACAAGCCGGAGTGCCACAACTTACCTCGCCGTTCAGCAAAACCATGGCGCCGTTCACTCACATTTCCTACTATTGTGGCGACCACTGCGCTGGGACTGAAGCTCCACCCCCGCAATCAGTCACCTCGGCGGTCTCTACACCCCGATCCAATACATACCCGCCCTCCACCAATTATCGTTATCGGGTTAATCACCGGGGACAAACCTTGCGGCACAGTTCCGCACCGGGTCCACCGATCCAGTCTGCTGCTACAGGTAAATCTTTTCCTCAGCCAATCCACCCAATCGCCTCTATATAATATCTTCTCCTCTAATCTCTTCACAAGCTACTTATGAACTGGACTTTTTCTACATTTTGGGCTTGCAACAACACAGGCACTGCCCACAGGTATTCAAGTTATAGCAATAGCTTAGTACATAATCCATGAGCGCAACTAAAGCAGCTCTGTTATGCCTTGGGGAGTGACATTGTGTTAGGACATTAACTGCGCCGAAGACCACCTATCGTTATATCGAGAGGCTTGTCGGATCTAGACATATGGCTAAACAGCATGCTTGTTTTCTTTAGGTCGTTGCGCCCCACCTCGCACCATTGATCTGATCGTCAGATATTCAATTTCGCATTTGCGAATTTTCATCAAACGCTCGCACAGATTTTAAAGGGTTTCACTGCCAACGACCTTGTAGTGGCACGTCCATCTGTAGGTCGGAACTGCACGCGTCTTGGCGCGTTGCATGGCCCCTCAGCTGGAGAGGAGCGCTTCGACTGTGCGGGAGAGCATGGCGGCTTTTCAGCGGTCGGCCTCTTCCGTGAAGCTGGATTGTAGCAGCAATCCCATTTTGCAGCGGACGAATTCCATGCTATCCTCGGAGACGAAGCTGAAGGCTGCCCCGAGCACATTGGTGAAGGATCAGGTCGCCAACCCTGCCATCAGGAACCGGAACGTCGTGATCGGATTGCTGTCGTGTTTGCTGATTCTGGCTGTGTCGTGGCATTCCATGTCGCCCGAAGGCGTCCCGGCGGATTCGTTCGATGCCGGGAGTGGTCAGTCGGCGTGGTCTCACGGGGGCAGGGCGATGCCATACAAGGAGTTCGTGCAGAAGAGCCTTGTAGGGGGCATGAAGTTTTTGGTGCAGGACCCGCAGATCAAGATGACGTATCACAACGGGCCTCTTCTGACCGGAACGGGTGGCGTGTTGAAGGTGAATGTGATATTCTACGGGGGGTGGAGCGAGAAGCAGAAGGCCATATTGACAGACTTTGTGAGGTCTTTCTCGAGTCCGAAACCCCGGACGCTTTTCCCGACGGTGGCGGGGTGGTGGGCGATCTTGAAGAACTACAAGGACAGCAAGAAGGTGCCCGTGGCAGCCACCGTAACATTGGGGAAGGTGTACACGGACTCCAAGTACAGCTTGAAGAAGTCTCTGGCGGAGTCGGATATCGAGAAGCTGGTGGTGGCGTCGCTGAATTCGACGGGGGTGGATCCGAACGCAGTGTACCTGGTGTTGACCTCTGCGGATGTGGGCGTGCAAGGGTTCTGCAGCTCTCTGTGCGGAACCCACAGCTGGACTCGGTCGCCGGCCACGCAACACAAGGTGCTGCCATTCGTGTGGGTTGGGAACCCGGCGACCCAGTGTCCGGGGCACTGCGCGTGGCCGTATGCGAAGGCGGAGTACGGTGCGGGCCCAAACACGGCTCCGTTGAAGGCTCCGAACGGGGACGTGGGCGTGGACGGGATGTGCATCAGCATCGCCGGCTTGTTGGCCGGGGCGGCGACGAACCCTCGGAACAACGGGTACTACCAGGGAGGAGCGCTGGACCCGCTGGAGGTTGCGACGGTGTGCGGAGGGATCTACGGCGAGGGCGCGTACCCAGGGTATGCGGGGAAGATTCTGAAGGACAGGAACGGGGCGAGCTACAACGTGAACGGAGTGAACGGGCGGAAGTATTTGGTGCCGTTCGTGTTCGACCTCAGGACGAAGAAGTGTGGGCTGCAGGGGTGATTTGAGGCACGTCGACGACGACGTGGAGATGGCGGTGGCGAAGAGTGTGCGAGGAGAATGTGATGGCCTTGGTTGGCATCTGTGCGGCTGACTGCCCCGAAGAGGAGGCGTCCGGGGCCGCCGATGGAACGAAGGGATTGACAGAAGGGTGATGAGTATTGTTGTGAAGTGAGCATGATTTATGGACCCCGGATTCGTTGAGGACGGGGCGACATGGTTTTGTAGGTTGTTGATGCAATAAGTAGCTGAGCAGTGTCACACGCGAATGCAGCGGGTGGATTGCCAGCGGTTCCTCTGGCATTGTGACCTCCACGGATCGGTTTGACCACCGCCCGTCGTTAATGCAATTGGGAATATATTTTGGCTTTGCATTCTCGAGTTGTTATGTTTTAGGAGGGATGACGTCAGGATGTTTAGCAGTTTGGCGTTATCATTGTAGATTGCATGAGATAGCTGTGAGACTGATTCGATCGTTGTTTAGAAGTTTGATTGAACTTCGTGTTTTGTGTTTTGCGACAACTTCCGCTAGAAAGCTTTGAAAAGAGCGTGAAGTCTTAGTGATGAGTATTGCTGTTGTATGCACTGGATCATGTTTGTTCGATTCGTTGTGTTGTCCGGGAGAGGCTCAGGGACGGCACTTTTTTCTCGGAATTTGTCCAGTTTCTCACCATTGTTGTGGAATTGGAACAGTGCAAATGTCAATTGTGGGAAAGTATGATGAAATGAATAAGCATATCGAGTACATCATAAAATGAGGATACAATTGGTAGGAAAAGAAAAGCTAGTGTATAATACGCAACTACTAAAAATTTCCGCAACAGAAATAGTATTATACCACACAATTGATCATGCTAAACAATCAATCATCTGCAGCTGGAATATTTATTAAAATATTGAATCTATAAAATGATAAAATAATTCATGGAGTAACTATTAAAGTGTAGAAAATATTTAATCAAAATCGAAATTTCTAAAAGTTCTACTTTAGAGCACAAACAAAAATTAAAAAAATAAAAAATCATCATACTGAGCATCTAAGAAATATTACAAATAAAATTAAATCAAAGTAAAGAAAAATGAATTATTACAGAAGAAGTAAGCTTTGCAATAAGTTTTAAAGTAAAAACAACTTTTATATTTTAGAAGACAATCAGGGAATGATTTGACTTCCTTGCAAACATTTAAAAAAAGAATGCAATTTATACCCAAATACTTTGTAAATATAACAAGATTAAAGATAAGAAATTCAAAATTACAATAGGAATTTTAACAAAATTATTACATTTTAAAGCGAAATTTCGAAGCACTATTTATGCAACAAGAAGTTAAACAACACAAAGAATAAAAAATATATATATCTATTATTAAAAGAATATGTAGATGAATCAAGAAAGATCTTATGTAGGATTGAAATTTGCTGAAAAGAAACTAGAGCATAAACCAATTCAACCTTTAGTATTTAGTATATAATACATTAATTTTTTGTATAAAAAATTAAAATATAACCTCAATTTTAATCTTAAAATATTTTAAAAATATTTTAGACATTTCTAAATAAAAACTTGATTGCATAATTAAAATATATTTTTAAATAGATACTACTTAGACACCAATTAAGAAGATGTTTGTTTGTCAAGGACATGAATTAAAAACAATCAAAGAACCAACTTATTCTTTTGTTACTAGAAAAGAATAAAAATTCACTTAAAATAGTTATAATATTAAAATTGAATTACTATTGCTAAAGACAAGAAGACTAGACGCTCTTGAAATAAAGCTAAATACAAGAAAGACATTAAAAAGAATGAAAAAAGGCCTCATTTTTGCATTGATATATATTATCTAACTAAAGAAGTATGTAGCAACATTCTATAGGTCATTTAATACGTGTTCAACTTACAAGACACTTGTTTAATTTATGAAGTGCATTTCCAATATATGCACTACATGGCCAATTTATATTTCAAGTGGTCAAAATGTGCAACATGGGGCCCAACTTTTACTTACTTTAATGTAACTCCTCTTATCTTAATAAATATTAATTTTGATATATATGTCTATGATACAGTCACAAAAACAAGTTAAAAGAAGAAAGATAAAGAAAAAAACTTTAACCTTGATATTAGATAAAGTTTCTAATAAATTCAAATAATGATCAAATTAGTTAATAACTGAAAAATTTAAATAAAATAGAACTTAAGAATAATATATATATATATAATAAATTAATATGAATAATTTAATTGATTAGATTTAATCAAATTAAGTAATATATAAATCTATTTTTATCTAATAAATAATATTTAGATAGATATTAATCTACCTAATTAACCAAAGATAATTTAGAAGAAGAAATCTTAAAACAAAACTTGTATAAAAAAGATCTAGATAATAGAAAGTAAGTTCAAGGTGTTCTTTTTAAATAAGAATTAGATATTCTAAAGTTTGAATTAAAATAAATTAGGTTATGAGATTATATAATAGCTAACAAAAAGAAAAAGAAAAAGAAAAATACTTATAATTAATTAAATTACTATAAGTAATAAAAAAAAAGACCAACAGTTACAACTACACAAAGAGAGAAGTAAATTAAATAGTACAAAGTATCAAGTATAAAAAAAAATTCTATTATTTTAATTTTCATTATATAAGATTTTTTTGACTAAATCATACATATTGAATACTTTCTTAGTTAATACTTTGTCTCTTTTTGATATATTTATAATCTAAGTTTAATCATTATAAAATTTATTAAAATTGAGTTACATGCAATCTAATTAAAATTAGTAGTTGGTACAGAATATCTCTTGATGTGAATTTTGGCTATGACTTATTAACTCTGTCACATGGAAATTAGTTTGAATGGGTATTTGACAATCAAAATCAACATCTATTGATGATTTAAAATGTTTACACTTCATCTTAATATCTGATGTTTAGACTTCATATTTATTAGATTCATCACACTTTAGACTTGCTTACATTCCAACTACCACAACTCAAACTTTAGCTTTATTGAATAGTAAATTTATTTACCTTTGTGACATATAGTTCCAATCTAGATAGTTTTGCTAACTAATTTGATATCCAATCATTCTGAAATTCAAGGATGATATCTATCAATCAAATTTTAAGTTCAAACTTTTAAGTTAACCTTTAAACGACAATAAGATGGTGATACGTATTGTGGCGCTGCTTGTGGAAGCTCGAAAGCTGGTTGTGGACTGCATGTGTACTTGTAAGGTTGGAGTTCGTTGGGAGTGTTGAATACCTCATTGCATGTCAAGAGCTGTGCATGGAGTTCAATTTTTCCCTTCGTCGGTGACAACTAGTTATTGCTGGTTCTATTGGAGTGCGGCAATATTGCTTGGTTTATCTTGCTGGTGTTTTCCACTAGCCTTGTCCCTGCGGTGTGGCGGGAGGTTCTGCATTGTTTGCTTTAGGCTCTACTTCAAGCTTCCAATCTTGATCTTGTCATTGTGTGGTTCCTGGTTTTGATGATCCAACCACCATCGTGATTTTTTTCATTCTTCTACTACTTCCATCATGTCTGTGGTCATCATCTTTGCGCCCTTGCTGTTATTTGCTACTACCTTCCACAAGGAATAAATCAAAGAATTGTGATAATTCTATCTTTCATCGCGTTACTGTTCAGCCCAGCTAGTGTCGTCTTCGACAGTGTGCTTACGTTGTAGCACCAGCGACAATTTTCCTCCCATTTGTTGTTCAATGTGGCTGATTGAAGCTGGATCTTACGTCGACAATATTCCCTTATGCAATTCACTTCTATTTTGTGCTTGTGGTTTCTCTTTCTTGCGGTTTTATAATTGGAGCGGTTAGACTTTACTGTGTGAGAGGGTGGCGAGGCTGTGGAGACTTGAAGCGGATCTAGGCTGGAGACTGAGCGTCGAAGAAGCCTTCGTTGGTTGAAGTCTAGGAACATCAAACTAGCAAAACTAACGAATGGACTTTTGAGGTCCAAATTCCCAGTGAAGGTGGGGGTCTGGTCAAGGGGAAGCAGTCATCCTGGAACCGGTGCAGCACTGGTTGTCGATGGCAGCAGGGAAGAGGACATCCAAGCATTCATGCGTATATGTATGTATTGGATGATTGTGCAACTGTACACCAAATTTCAAGATCGAAGAATTATTCTCTGTGGAGGCGTATTCATCTTTCCGGTGAAGCTCAAGGTGCACAAGTGGGCTGCAGGGCGCTTCCTTATAGCAACTTGATTGTTAGACATTAGAAATGTAGATACTATCGACAACAGTCGTCTTGCTCGAGGTTATTGCTCTTCATTTTGAAGCTAAGATTTAGGAGAAGGGCTGGAATTAGGAAGGCATGCTCATCATGTATAGTCCACCAATTTAGAGCCACTATCTTCTCCCACATGATCCCCGAAGTTTCATTGTGGTGCTCCAGAGCATCCTTCTGAAGGCTTCATCACCATGCATTGACATCAAGTGGAAATTCAGCAGAGGGTCATCAGGAGGAGTTCAAGATTATCAACAAGGGCATTGAAATTCACAGGTTGTGAGTTGTACATCTCAATTGTGTTAGTTTATTTTAAAAAAAAGAAAATCCCACGTGTTAATTAGACTCCATTTATTCAATTAAAGTGTGGCCAAAAATTGTGAATGATAAAATATTAAAGAAGTGGATGAAGCTAGGTCAAATTGGATGAATTTTAATGGATGAAAATTAACTAAGTAGATGAATTCTTATTTGTGTATTTGAAATCTTTCTTGGATGAAAACTCATTTATGGATGAAAATTTATTCTTAGATGAGAATTTAAATTAGATAAGAATTAATACTAGAAAAAAATCAAATGAAAATATTTTAAAACATTAAAATACAATCATAAAAAATCTTTCTTTTAAGTTTGTGGTTCTTTAAATTATTAAAGTTTCTTGTGTTATGGATTAAGGTTATTTAAATGTGAATTTGATTAGTAAGAGAGGTTAATTTCTCCTAACAATAAGTAGGAAGAATTTTTAATTAACCACTTAATAAGTTAGATAGTAGTATGAATTAGAATAAATCACCTACTAGAAGATTTTTTTTTAGCTCACACTTAGAATGTTATAGGACTTCTTGAATACCAATCAAATGCTAATAGAAACTCATTACAATTTCTAAATAATTAATTTTTTTGTGAATTAGAATAGACTTCTAGTTAGTATGGATTTATTTTACAATACAGCTACTTCTAAACTATAGTAGCCTCTTTGTTATTAGGAGTTCTAACCAACTCTTAATCCTTGAACTTCTTTTTTGTTTTAATTTTTGTATAAAGAATTTACCTTTGACTATGATATTTTTTTTTTCCTTTGTATTTTTTTAAGAATGTATGGCTGAAGATTGCAATTCATTCCATTACAGTGCTATAAAAATGTATCTTTTTTTTGTTTTCCTATGATCAGTGTGATGAACTCCTGATCAAGCAAAGAATTGGTATAGTGTTTTGTGGAAGATATTGTGTCAAGGACAAGAACTCGATGAAAAAGCAATTTAGACAAGTGAGCCTTCACTCAAAGAA